CCCCCCCCCCCCTTAATCGATTTACAATACTTTATCTGATGTTTTTTGGTCAATGAATCTCTTTCATCGTTTCGTAGAATGTGGTAGATAATGATCAGTATTGATAATACACGAATTTCGGATTTTACTTGTCTTTAATCTGGACTAATTTGAGAAAATCTACAAAAGAAGTTTTTTCCCGTTCTATACAGGGTGGTCCAAACTGTATTCCGGAAACTTAGACAGCATATTCTGCAAATAAAAATAAGCAAAAAAGTGCGTATTTCTGAACTAACAGCAATATTTGGATGAAAATTGTTGTCTGGGGTTTTTTTGACATGAGAAATTTCATTTTGATGTCAATATGACTCCTACTTGTAGAGAGCGCCACCTACATATTTTTCAACTGGTTTGAAAAGTAATAACTTTCCGTCCGTACCTGTATAAAATTATTGAGTAAAAAAATATGCATTTACGGCGTTTTTTACGTAAGAAAGGTTTCTTGGTAAAAATCGCTAAGAGTATGGTTCTCGAGATATTTGGGATCGAAATTACCAATACCTGTCATCGCTGACATAAATTAAACATACTGACTAAATTAATAGTTAGACTGAGCATCCTCCTGAAGTCAATGAACAACGGAAGTCCGAAATTCTTATAGTTTTAATACTGAATCATTGTCTACTACGTTCAAAGAAACTTAAAAAAAAATCCACAAGCAAGCCCTTTAATGATTTTTCTGTTAAAACAAATTAACAGACTTTTTCCCTCAATGGACCTTTCAGGAAACCGAGTTTTTTAGGGTTTTCTTTCAGTTTTCCTATCGAACCTTCTCCGATGTTTCGGTAATGCGATTTTCCCTCGTCATCACCTATTTTTATGTTTTTCCTCGGCTCGACACAAGTTGCCTCTCAAACCCTCTAATTTATTACTCTAAGAACCTTTAAGGGCTCAATCTTATCGACGCTTTCCAGTTATTTGGACCTTGTTTTCTTACGTATTACGCTTTTTATTCTGTTTGCATTATTTTCTGATAAGCATTTTATGTTCTATGTAGCGTGTGACAAGGCAAATTGAAAGCTTTGTTTAGTCGATGGAGGGTGTTGTACAAATTGATTAGATTTGACTTTATTATTTATTCTCTAGCTTTTATAATATTTATATGTTATAAAAGATGTCCGCGCACTGGGGCGAATTTTATTTATTTCATGATTTGAACGCAGTACGTTGTCTAGTGTAGTAGATGAGCAGTTCGTCAGAAGAGGACCTTTTTGTACTAAGTTTAATTGCCACTATGGAAGAAGAAGAAGATAAAAACAAGAAAAAATGCTAGGTTCATAATATAAATCAAAAGAGAGACACCTACGGTGAATTTCATCATTTGTTTGATGATCTATTACAAGATAAAAAGAAGTTTGTCCCAACTTTAGCAACTTTAGCACCTTTAGCACCTACCAAATAACGCAAAAACTGGGATATGAGACAAGAATCAACAAATATTTGAATCTTCTCGCCGCCTATCGCCGCGCATTCATGCGAAGCGTCAAAAGAAACGACTCCTAGTTGGTCCGAAGAGAATTCGCGAGTCAACCGACGCCCCTCTTCGCTTCGCGCCACCCTAATGCGCGGGCTGCCATTAATGTGGTCACCCCGGGCTGCCTTAAATGTAAATTTGTCGGACGAAAAATCTATGATTTTCTTCGCGCCGCGCGCCGTTTCCGTTCGCGACGCTTCAGCTAAGTGCGCGAGCACCTTAAACCAGTGTGTACTACCAGTCACGTAAGACTCGGCTTTACGTGCGGAATCTACCCCATGAAAGATGGTACATGTTTTTTAAAACACCCTGTATAATTAATATTTGAATAATAATCTAACTTTCCCCGAAAATAATTGATACCAAACCAAAGACACGACACAAAGTTTGGCTAAAAAACTAAAACAGTGTCGAGACCAGCGACTGGTATACGTCTGCTAAATGCAGCTTTGTCGTCTGTATACGTAGATTTTAAACAGCGCCCTGCTAAATCTGAAAACAAGTGACTTCAAGCAAAGTTTACAGAATTTTATTCTGTAAACTTTACTTCGAGGGAAGGTGCTCTCTTAGGTGTCGCACTATTTTGTTATCGTATCGCTCAAAGTATTCCTGCACAAGTCGGCATCACTGGATAGAGTTGCACCGCGAAACAAACGACGGCCGCACGTTTATCAGCAGCCTGCTCGTCTACTGACGGCCGTGGATCGCTCCTGCGGCGTGCAGGGGGCCAGCGTTTCGACTGCGGCTACTGCGACCTACATCAAGACTTTTTCTGTGTTCGGGTTGACGTTGCCGCTGCAGCCGAGAGATAAAGACGCGCCGCGGCATAGCAGGAGCAGCAGGCACAGAGAACTTACCGAATTACAAACGAGTTTCTTTTTATAGTTTGTTTTTTATCTCTTTTGGTCGTTTCTACTTTTGGACTACGGGCGCACGCGATGAGGTTTTCGATGAGTAACTAACTACAGATAAAAGATACAGTTGGTGTTTCTAGAGATGTCACAGACGAAGAGTGTTTGTTTACGCAAAAACAGTGTTGCCGGGTATCGACCAAAAAATAACTAATAAGATTAGACATTTCTTATTACTATTAATATTCATCATGATAATCATAATTTTCAGCTTATTCGACCATTTCCAACTATGGTGTAACCTCTCTCACTTGTTGTTGGGTACATTGTTGTCTATTGTTGGTTACGCTTAATATATTATTAAGGTTGCCTACCCTTAAACAAAGATTTTCGGAGTTATTTTCATTTCATCATTTAGTGTCAGTAGATCTTTATTATTTGATAAAATCTAGATGGCTGGTGATATGCCTGACGTTACTTCAACATAGCTGTCAAATTAGTTACACTCTAACAACTAGTTATCATTTTGTGTCAGTTAAAAGAAAACAAATTCTCCAGAAATTTTCCGAAAATTAAAACTTATCTTAAATATAAATAAATAAATAAATGCCTTCATTGTCAAAAATTTTTACAATTTGTAGACAAAGGTAAAGTAAACAAACAAAGGAGAATACAAAACAAGTATACAAATTACATTGTCAGTCTTATTGTTTAAAATAAACATTTATAAATGTTTACAATGTCAAAGAATAAAAAAATAAAAATAATATTCAAAAATATTTAGTAAGTTTATGGTAAATATAGTAATAGCAAATATTAGACCAGTGTTTACAAGATCAAATTGGATCATCAAAATATAAGTTATTTACGGCGTAGAAAGCCTTGTCTAGTAAATAAGATTTCAATGCTTTGCGAAATGAAAAAAATGATGTTATGGATTTGATTTCAAATGACAGATGATTGTGCATTTTTTTCGAGTTATATAATATTGAACTTTTAACTAACTCTGAGCGTGGGGTAGGTAGATAAAGATCTTGCTCCGCGTTCCTGAGTGGATAAGTGTCAGATGGCCTTTCTTGAGAAGCTGATACATGCTTACGTATTAGGCAAACGAATTCAAATATAAATAAGGAAGGAAGAGTCAATATTTTTAATTCTTTAAAAAAGTCCCGGCAATGAGTTCTGCTGTTTAGTCCCAGTGAACATCGAACAGCTCTCTTCTGGAGCTTGAAAATGCGGTCAAATTGAGTCGCACAACGCGTACCCCAGAATGGAAGGGCATACCTGAGGTGCGACTCAAAAAGTGCATAATAAACAGTTCTAGCCACTTACATCAGAGAGAAAGTCTTGATTATATTAATTGATGCCTGGAGTGTGCATTCACCCATTCATAGAATGCTTAAATGCTCCTGATTTATCTAATCTGGGTTTTTTATGGGGATATGTTAAAGACAGTGCTTACAAATCTCGACCAACTATTATCGACAACAGGAGAGAAATGAATGTGGCTGCTTTTCGAAGTAGAACTCTACACATGCATGCCTCTTAGATCTTTTAAAAAGAGACACATTTTATGCAGTGATCAGGATAGGAAGGATTTTGAGCATTAGATTTCAACTAGCTAAAATCTGTCACATAATTATAAGCTTATATCTAGTTTTAATTCTGTAATAATTAAAATATGTTTTAAACATGTATCTTTTTATTACGATTGAATATTTTACTCTAGATCCTTTAATTTTTGTTAAATTAACGAAAGGTGTATCACAGCCACCTAGATTTTATCAAATAAAAAAGATCTACCTGATGCAAAATCATAAAAATAAAAATATCTAGGAAAATCTTTGACTAAAAGGTAGGCAACCTTAAGAATATTTTGAAGATACATGAATTCTTAATTGAATATCGGAATAATATACTGGGTGTTCCGTTTAAAATAAAGGAGTAATTTCGCTTTTAAAAGTGACCAATGTTTAATATTAATTTTGTCCCACCAAAACAAACAAAATGGTTATTTTAATGAAATATCAGTTTGAAATTTGAAATTTGTTCTTCATTTTTAGAAATTGTTAAATTTTAATAACCCTTACATTTTAGTGATATACTTCTTTAATAAAACTCACCTTTATTTTTCTCCTAGAATCCGAAAATCAATTAATATATAGGATATTCCATTACAAAAAACACAACTTTGATATGTAACTTTTTTTGGGGATACCCTGTAGAATTCTGTATATTTTTATAAAATGCTTTCAGTTGATATAAACTACCGTTCTCCTTAGAGCCTCCGCGTCGTATGAGAGGGGCCACCTTGTATTTAGTACGCCGTTTCTATAGGGAGGTACCCAAAAAAACCATTAATAACAAAAATAACATACTTCGTTTTCAAACAAGAGCCGTGGATCTAACGCAATCCGCAGAAATTCCTCATCACCGCTTTTTGTTAAAAACGATGTTTGATCGGGATAAAATGTAAATAGTTTTGTTTCCTTTAAGTTAGATATTTTTGGTGTAGACATAGAAAGGAGGACAAACACAATAGGTCTAATTATTACCTTAATACTGAGAAGAAAAAATATTAACATTTCTAAATATAACGACATCTTTCTTTAAAGATAACTTAAGTCAACACTCACCAGGTGCGGCCCATGTGGGATCCCTCCAAACACCCTCGTGATTTAAATGGTTCAGCGCCAATGACTTGCCGTCTTTGGTCTCCAATCCCCATAGTTTTTTAGCCGATGGGGCAATCTGTAACAAAAAGAAAACAATAATAAATACAGAGAAAACAATTAGAACATAAAAATTAAAAATAATAATAACAACAAACTCTTTTTCTATAATGAAATATTTGAGACACTGCCTAGCTACGTCGGAATACCGATTGCCGAAGTTAAGCGACGTTAGACGGTGCGAGTGGATGGACTATGTTGTGTTGTTGTTCCATGGCAAAAGTGTAAACTCTTTTGACAAGCACTGCTCATTCACGCCGGTTCAAGGCCGGATGAGATGGCATTTTTTGTGACATTGACAATAACATGGCCGAAGACCGCGGTTCGGATTCAATTTGGTCCAAATTGGCCTTAACAGGAAAAAGGAGAACTTAGGAGAACTTTAAAGGTAAATATGTTTTAGAAATAAAGACCAAAATATATAATGTAGGAACTCTAGGCTATTTGTCGATTAATTAACTACTTATAAACTATTTTCGTTTGAAGGAACTTAGCTATATTTAACACCGTTTCGTGACTGTATTTATTCACTACCTTATAATTCTAGAGAATTTATTATCACGCAACCCAGCTGATTAAAACAATTTAATAAGAAACATGTTTTGTGAATTAAGCAAATTTCTATAACAAAAAAGAGGTTTTTAACAAAAACTAAAACATAAGAAAATAGTTATTTATGTATCAAGGGAATTATAAGGGTATTTTAATTACCGAGGGCAAAGGTTCTGTCCCGACAATAATTGCCCGAGGTTATTAACACTAGAATTCCCGTGGTATACACAGATAATTTTAGTTCTGTAAAACTTCTATATCCTGTATCTCCGAAACTAAGCATTTTAGGACATATATATAAGAACTTTTTTACTTATTTTTATCTGCAAAATATGCTGCCGAAGTTTCCGGAATACAATTCGGACCACCCTGTATATATCAATCGGTTTTAAAACATTCTTCGTCGTCTCCCGGGGATGCCAAGTTGCCATTGCTCCTTATCTAGCCAGAGGTCGTCTTCGAGCTCTCGTTCTTTTATCTCCTTGTCTATTAAAATTCTTCTCTACAGCTCTTGCGTGGTCTACCACTTTTTCGTCGTCCCGCTGGTGCCCATCAGTTGAGGTTCTGTTTGGGAAGTCCCTCCTCTGACATTTTTTGTACGTGGCCATACCATATTAGTTGTTTCGTTCTTATGTCATCAGCTATTGTTCGTTTGACCCCCATAATTTCTCGTATTCTGTTGTTCGTATACCTTCCCTTCTGGATTTACCTGCCGCCTGTCTCCAGAATTCCATCCATATGTCGCTTCCACGGTGCGCAGGGTCTTATCTTTTAGCTACCATACTGCCATAGCAAACGATGCTTTTAACTATTGTGCTGTATATATGACGTTTGTTGGATTTAGAGATGTTACTATCCCACAAAACGCCGTTTAACAGAGATTGCCTTTCTTCCCTGAGGGTTTCTGTCCCTAATGACTTTATCAAGAGTGCCATCCTTTGAAACTTTGGCTCCTAACTATTATAATTATCATGCAGCCGTTAACATTTTGACCGTTTTCAAAGGGGAGAGGTTCTTGGAGTCCGCCAACGCACATATATTCCGTCTTATCTAAGTTTACTACCCCCAGTTGCTGTATTTTTCGATTAGCTTTCTGGTCATATACTCGAGATCGTCGGAGTCTTGTGCCAGTACTACTTGGTCGTCTGCAAAACTTAAGCTATAGATCAGGGTTTCTTAAAGTGTGGTCCACGGACCCCTTAGGGGTCCATCGCATGTGTATTAGGGGTCCGCGGTCCGCATTACGCCAGTTAACTGTAAACATATTTATTAAGAAAAGAAATAGTGTAGGGCGGCGAATTCAGTAGGTATTTAATCACTAAACACTACGCGATGCGCGTAAGGATCATAAAAACAAAGTTGAGGCTGTTCCCTTATCAAACGATGTTATTAATTCTAGAATTGTTGAAATGTCGTCAAATGTTTTACAAGTTGAAGAATTAATTGCTTCACCGTTTCCATTCAGCATTCAATTGGATGAAAGCACCGATGTGTTACAATGTAGCCAACTCTTGGTATTTGTCCGTTACGTACAACAAAGACACACGTAGTATTAAAGAAGAGTTTCTTTTTTGCAATTCACTTTTGGAGACTACAAAGGCTTCAGATGTTTTTGAAATGACAAAAAGGTTTTTCAACGAACAAAATATAGACTGGAAGACTAAACTTGGTAGTATCTGCACCGATGGAGCTCCCGCAGTGCTTGGTAATACGTCTGGTTTTGCGGCTTTGGTCAAGAAAGAGATCCCTCATGTCATAATAACTCATTGTGTCTTACATCGACATGCCTTGGTTTCACGGACTTTACCTACATTTCTGAAGAAAGTTATGTCTACATGTGTCAAAATTATTAACTTCATCAGAGCAAGAGCCTTAAACCACCGCGGCACCGCCTGTTTAAAAGACTTTGTCAAGAAATGGGGTCAGAACATGAAGTACTACTTTACTACACAGAAGTTCGTTGGCTGTCTAGGGGACAGGTCTTAAAGCGATTGTTTGACAGAAGTGTTACTTTTTCTAAAAGATAAAGGAAATTCACTGTCTGAATATCTAGAGAGCAAAGATTTTGTACGGGGGCTAGCGTATTTGGCAGATATATTTACTCAATTGAATGAGATTAACCTGTCTCTTCAAGGCTCTGCGATGCCCATCGTGGATGCATCATATGTAAACTGCCACTTTGGAAAAGGAGAGTGGAATCTGGTAACTTTGCAAATTTATCGATGTTTGAAAAGTTAATAGCACAAGGTGACGGCAACACGATATCAAAAATGCTACAGAAAGAGGTGTCTAAGCATATGGATACATTGCAAACTTCTTTTGAAGGCTACTTTAACTTAGAATCGCTTGAAAATGAAACGTGGGTGCGGGGTCCATTTATAATCGATACGGATAATATCAGCGATGAAGATCTCATTAAAGATGACTTAATTGACATGAGATCAAAAGAAGTTTTGAAAGCTGAATTTCATGCAAAAGATCTTGGCGAGTTTTGGTGTTCTTTAAGTCAAGCTTACTCTCTTCTTGTCAAGCGAGCTATGTCTCATTGATGCTAAACAGCAGCATCCTTCTCACTAATTTACTAGTGTACGTGTAATAAATCTACTAAAAAACGTATTTTTTTATGTAAATAAGGCTTTTTTATTTTCCTCTATTATTCCTGAGAGGGGTCCGTGGAATTGTACAAATTGCGAAAGTGGTCCGTGACTGTAAAAAGTTTAAGAAACCCTGCTATAGATGGTGTTGTCGTTTAACGGGATACCCATATGGCTACATTTCCGTTTCCATTGTAGCAGCGTCTTTTCTAAAACTATTTGGAGGAGCGTTGGGGATAGACAGCAACCTTGCTTTAATCCTTTATTTGGCATGAACTCGCTGGTGACTGAGTTTTTAATTTTTATTTTTATATAGGAGTTTTTATATATTTCTTTGACGGCTCAAGGAAGTGATGACTATTTATAGTTGGAGTAACCAAGACGATATAAGGTCAGTAAGAAATAAAAAAAACAAATAAATTCACAGTTTATTTTTCGAAGAAGTCCGGATTTCCCAGCTTTCCTGTCCGGAATTTCTCCGGGCTGGTCTAAAAACGCCACCAAAGCGAAAATTAGAATTCGACGGGAAGTTCGACAGAAGTAAACTCCGAATCGGCACTTGGCTCGAATGTTAAACGCCTTTAAGCCCTTTTCACGGCTTATTTAAATTCCCAAGAAACTCCAGCCATACGAAAACTTTTACCCGAGTATCTTTATTAAAATTGCTAAAACTGTTGACCCAGCCCTCGATTTCGTTAACGATTAAAACTATTCCGAAGAGTATTTTAAGTTGGGTTGAAAACACTACCAGAAAGAATTTGTTAGTAAAATAATTTTACATAAATGTATGTTTTACATGTATTGACTGATTTTTTTTCTGATGTTCATCATGATGAAAAATAAAAAAAATTGTGTGCACTATATTTGAAGTGAAACTTCTTCTGGCTTCCATCTGTCCGTCTCAGGACTCCATTCGGGTACCTCTATCCACGTGCAGAGTTTGATTCCAATTGACCAATAATTAAGCAAAAACATGATGATTTCGTCAATTTAGAGGCATCGGCATCGGTTTGAAACGTCGAGAGCGTCATCCTGTAGCCCGTCCCTAATTATGCCGAAATAGACCCACATTTTTCTTCAATATCAAATCCTTAGTCTCACCCTGATGAAGATCCAAACGAAACGTCGTATCCAACTTTGCAGGGTGGGACTGGGTGCACCGTTGCTCACATCATAGCCTACCCACCAAATTTGGTCGCGATCGGACAACATCAACTTTTTACGTTTCTTACGTCAAAGCTAACTGTCACAGTGACACGTTGAAAACGTGTCATACACGGTCAAGTTGGCCTTGGTCCAATTTATCAACATACCAAATTTCGTTTAAATCAACGATTTTTTCGCCATTGATGATGAAATTTCAAAGTGCACGAAACGTCGAAAAAATGGCATGAAAAGATGAAGCTCTTCGTGCACCCTCTATATTCCGAGTTTCAGCCCGATCTATCAATTATTTAATTTAATATGGTATATGGTCTATTTTTTAATGGGACATTTTGAGAAGTAGCAATTTTTAAGAGAGATGAGATGAACTTACAATTAATTTTAAAAATACATACCTATTTGTATTTTAGATGTTTTAATAATATGAATTAGTTGAACTTAATAATCATATTTAAGTAATGTATTGTCGAACCTCTACACCCTAAAGTCAATCTGTTTTCCAAAAATCAGCTTTTTACGTCAAGCGCTTTAAGCAGGATCGTGATTAATCAATGACCAGATTTTTCGAAACACCCTGTATACATTTTTAAAAAATATTAAAATATGTAAAAAAAACAAAATAAAACATACGTGTTTAAGCGTTTTTTTGGAAACTTGACCGTTTTTTAAATAAAAAATATTGTAATATTTGAGGGGTGGTTTCACCCTC